TATGACAAGTTGCTTATATAGACCAAAAAACTAGACAGCCAACAGAGTATTATTGTGAAGAAGTATTGAAGTTGTTCATAGATGTAGCGTAAGTCTTCTCTGCCAAAAGCATTGGCTTGGCTTGCAGATAATTTCATCTTTTGTTAAGTAAAGATTAAAGTGGGGGTTGCTACTCTGGATGTATTTTGATAAGTGAACAAATGTATGAAAAGCATTTGCTAAATTGTTTAATATGTGCTGAGAACTATGCTAAGTGTTGATAAAAATTCAAAAGTGAGACAGCACCTGTCCTCAAAGAGCTTACACTCTAATAAAGGGAGACAAAACAAATAGGGTACTGGGCAAGAAGACAGATTTTCATTTGGAGAGTTGCAATGGGAGTGAATGAAACCCTAGGAGAGTTGATTGCCACACCCTTTCTGGTAGTGACTGCAAAGAGACAGAAAGGCTTAGGGAATGGGAGAGAGTGGATAAAGGGTACAGTAGCCAGGCAGATGGCAAGAAGATGACCAGTGTTGGGCTGTCGATGGACTTAGAGTCAGGAAGACCCAAGTTTAAATGCTGCCTTAGACATTTACAGTATAATCCTGGCAAGTCATATAACTGCTTTGTACCTGAGTTTCTCTACCCGTAATGTGAGGAGACTGGACTTCATGATTTCTACGGACCCCTTAATTGCTAAACTTATCCTACCAATGTGAAATTTGACTGTGGTCAGCTAGACAGAATGAGTTTGGGCCATGAACTAACTCATCAACCAGAAGTTCAGAGACCCCAAGATTGATTCTAAGAATTGAATGGGTTAAATCCCTCAAGGCATGGTCTCTTGAGTTCTAGTGGTCCAGAAGATGTGGCAATATGGAAAGGAGATGGCCAGGGTGAAAGAGGAAGGGCATTGTTGTCTTGGTTTGTAAGCTGCCTCAGGGGTAGTGGCTATTTCCTTTCCTGAAGGTATTCAGAAAGAGACTGGATAACCACAATCAGGAATTTTGTGCAGAGGATTCATACTTAAGATAGCAATTGGACTAGAAAACTTTAAAGTTCCTCTCCACTTTAAGGGTTGTGTACCTAGACCAGGTGTCCTTAACCTTTTTTATGCTATGGACTCTTTGATAGTCTGGTAAAGCCTATGGGACCCCTTCTCAGAATATCTGTTGCCTATATTCATAATGAAAGGAAATGGTTTAATTTCAGTTCTAGGTCAATAAAAATAAAGATGAATTTGTCCTCATAAATAGGGCTTCCCCACCAACCCCCATCCAAGTTCGAAGACCCCTTGAAATTTATCCATGGCTCCCAGGTTAAGAACCCCTGATATAGACAATTAAAATTGCCACCAAATCCTAGCTCTTCAGGAAGGGAAGCTATTTTGCTTTTCTTTCTTTGTTTCTTTGTTTCTTTATTACTTTCTTTCTTTCTTTGTTTCTTTCTTTGTTTCTTTCTTTCTTTCTTTCTTTCTTTCTTTCTTTCTTTCTTTCTTTCTTTCTTTCTTTCTTTCTTTCTTTCTTTCTTTCTTTCTTCTTTTTGGTGAGTCAATTGGGGTTAAGTGACTTGTCCATGGTCACACAGTTAGTAAGTGTCAAGTGTTTGGTCTGAGGCCGAATCTGAATTCAGGTCCTCCTAACTCCAAGGCTGGAGCTCTATCCACTGTGCCACCTAGCTACCCCTCTTTTGCCTTTCTTTGTATCCACAGGACTTGGCACAGCTCCTGCACATAGTGAACACTTAAACGCTTGTTGACTTGACTTTTTGATAATATTCTCTCCCCACTCTTATTCACTCTGAACCAAGCTTCTAGAATAATTTCCCTGGAGCACTTCTGGGTTAGCAACACTTCTCAACTCAAAATCTTCCAATGGTTCCCCACAACCTTCTAAATCAAGACCAAATTCCTCTACCTGCCATTCAAGGCTATACATCAAAATCATGTCTTTCTAGGCTTGCATGTCACTACAAGCCAGATGACTCCGAATTCTCCAAACATTTCCTGTGTTCCAGCCTCTATACATTTGTTCATGCTGTTCCTTTAACCCAGAATGCTGCATTCCAATCTCCACTTTCAAAACCCTGCCTATCTTTCAGGTTCTATTTTAAATATTACCCTATTTCATTTTCCCCCTAGTTTCTACCCCCCACCAACAATTGGATATAGAATCATAGGATATAGAACAAGAAGATACTTTAGAGAAAACCTTGGTCAACCTTCTTATTTTTAGATGAGGAAACTGAAGCTCAAAACAGAATCCCATCACTCAGATGTGAACCCACATCCTCTTCAAATTCAGTGCTCATTCTACCTTACAACCTCCCTGATGCCCCCTAGAAATGTGGTTATATATTTCTTATGCCACTTACCATATAATATGTCTTGTGTTTTATTTCTCTACTTGTCTGATCTTTTCTTGGAAGCAGATTTTGTGTTTTGTCTATCTTTGCTAAGGCCCTTTCCTAGCTCTTAGTACATTGCTGGGTACTGAGCAGGTGCTTAATAAATATCTTTGAATTCATTGGTCAGTTTACACACTACATATTCATAAGGCTGTTTACTTGCAATGTATGTGTACTTTGATGAATCTGTGACCTCAGTGATGTAAGTGATTCCAGTGATGTAGCTGGAGATGGATGCCTATTCTGTGAAATTCTTATCCATGAAAAAGCATAAAGGATGGCACCAGAAAGACCCACAATTGGAAAAAACAGGCCAGTGGCACAGAGAGACCAAGGGATAAGTGGTGGAAAGCCCTTGTGTTTTGTTTGCAAACCAGACAATTTTAAGAGATCTAGAAGTAGGACCTCCAGCATGCTGGGTGGGGCTTTTGTGAAGTATTGCCGGTGGGACCTGAAAGATAATCTCATAGAATTACGTTCTCATAGTACATGTATATTCTATGTAGGTATATATAAAGAGATGCAAGTGTGGCATTGTGGATAGAGTGTAGGATATAATTCATAAAGACCTGGGTTCAGATACTGCCTCTGACACTTACTAACTGTATAAGCAAATCATTTAAGCTCTCTGAATCTCAGTTTTCACATTTGTAAACTGGGAAAAATAATATCACCTAATACACAGGGTTGTTGTGAGGCTGAAATTAAATAATGTAGGTAAAGTGCTTTGCAAACCTTAAAGGACTATATAAATGGTATCTATTCTTATATGAAGGGGGAAATGAGTTCACATGAACGTATTTGGATGAGACAGTTTCACAAGCCAAATAGGGTGGGAGAGTTTTATATAAAGGGCTCTGGATGCCTGAATCAGAGAAGCCTTTGGGGGTACCGTCTGTTTATGTGGGAAGAACTGGGTGCATGCAATGTCTGGAGCATGTGAATACAGGTGCCAACCTTGAGCTTCCATAACTTAGACTGACCAGTGCAGGGGAAAAAAATATTCTTCTTTAGATGGTATGCCATAAGATTTTGTCTAGAGGTGGGAAAAGAAGCTCTGAGGTACTCTAGTTTCTGGCTGGCGGAGAGGGAAACCTCTCCCTCTGCATAACATAGACAGATTTCTTCTAGCAAATGCAGTGAGTGTTGAGCAGAATGAGAGGAGGCTTAGGTAGAATGTGGAACTCACACCCATCAGAGGTTTTAAATGCTTGCCTGATAAAACCGACTTGTAATTCCGTATCTGAAGGAGACAGTGAATCCACAGACCCCCCGGAACAATGCAGATGCCACAGGAAACACTTTGGTATGGCATCTGCTGCTGCCATTTGAGTGTGCCAGGGCCGCTTCTCTTCCTTGCTAACAACACACACACACACACACACACACACACACACACACACACACACACAGAGCTCCCCCTTCCCCGTAGGTTGATGGATTTGCCCAAACCCCGTCTCCTGACACTTCTACCCGATAACCTGCTCAGCATCTGATAGCCCCACAAGCGACGTGCAAGCGCCCGTTACTAGCAGTAACCGTCAGCCACGTCTCTAATGAAGAAGCCCCAGCCGCATCCTCCGTGGGGCTGAGCTGAGCGCGGGGAGCGGAGGAGGCGCTAGGGCTCAGCCACCTCCTCCACGCGGGGAGCCAGCCAGTCGAGCGCTCCCGAACCAGCCTTCTTGCGAGGCGGGCTCTCCCGTGGGGAGGCCTCGAGCTTCCTCAGGCTTCTTCGGCTTCGGGGGAATGCGGCACTCACTTCTCCCCCTTGGCTGGGAGGAGAAGCCTCCGAGGCAGCAAAAGCGGAGACAGAGGGAGCGCGGGAGCCTCCCTCACCCCAGGACACACACCCTGTCTCTGGGGGCAGGATTTTTCTGACCAGATTTTCCTGTGCCTAAATTTCGGGGGTGATTTTAATTCTCTTCCTTCCCTCCCTCCCCCCACCCCGTGCCCATAGCTCCATCCTCGGGCCTGGGGCTCCATCATGCAGCCTTTCTGCTGCTGGAGCTGAAGGAAGAGAAGGTTGAATTCAGGGAAGGGGACTGACCGCTGGCGCCTGCGGCGGGTCCGGCTTGGGTGGCTGCGGCTGCTTGGTGAAGGTAGCAACAACTGCAATAGCAGCAGCAGCAGCAGCAGCAGCAGCGGCGGCGGCATAAGCAGCAGCCGCAGCAGCAGCAGCAGCAGCAGCAACCGCGCTAACACACCACAGCCTCAGCTCCTGAGAAAGGGCACCCGAAGGGGCCGGTCCTCTGTAGCTCTGTTCCGTCCCTTATTCCTCGGAATGATTGATCTGTTGCTGTTGCTGTTGTGAGTGGTGGCGGCGGCAGAGAGGGTGACAGCAGCTGGCACAGCTGGGAGGCGGCAGGCGCCATTGCCAGGACGACTGTCGGGGGTGCCACGGGCTGGCGGGCGGGGGAAGGAAGCCCTTTACGCGTCCGACGGAGAACTCGGTTGGAACAGGAGGCGGAGGCTCACTAGCGCAGGTGCTGCCGCCTGCCCCGCGCTGGGCCCCGGGCCATGCGGCCGGAGTGAGAAGGTGCTTGTGGCCCCGGCGCCCCCAGCAGCCTAGTAGCCTGGGCAGGTTGGACTGGGGTCTCTCCGGCGTCGGAGGCATGGCTTCTAGCCGGGGCTCGGGCCGGAGCAGGCTCAGCCCCTTCGCCACCGCGGCCGGCCAGGCTGCGCCGGGACTGCGACTCGCCCCTGTGCTGCCCTTGCTGCTCCTGCTGTTGCCAGCTTCGGGAGGGTCGCGGGCCTTCCCCCGGGGGGCTGCGGGGCCGCCGCTCAACAGTCCACCCCTGTCCATCATGGGTTTGATGCCACTCACGGACAATGTGGCAAAGGGCAGCATCGGTCGAGGGGTGCTGCCTGCCGTGGAGCTGGCGATCCAGCAGATCCGCAACGAGTCCCTCTTGTACCCCTACTTCTTGGACCTTCGGCTCTACGACACTGAGGTGAGTGCGACGGCTCTTACCCCCCAAACCCACACCAAGCTCAGCCTTCCCCTTCCTCTCAGTTCTGCGATCCTTCCTTTGGTCCCGCTGCCCCCCCCCCCCCCCCCCCCCCCCCCCCCGGGCCTTCGGGCTGGTTCCCCCATTTAGCCTGGCCGCGCCGTGTGCTTACTGTTCAGAAGGAGATTGTAGGGAGCCGGCTTTTCACTGTGGATAGGGGCCGGGGCTCGAGGGGCAGCAGTTCACTTGAGGTGCCCCGTGGCGTCGGCCCTGCAGTAAGAACTGGGCCAGAGGGATTAGGGATGGGTAGAAGTGGCGACTTGGGGGGGGAGGAGGCTCGAAGAAGCAATTTACCTAGGCAAAGGGAAGTGGAAGGATGAGGAAGAAGCGAAAAAGGAAAAGTGGGGACGAAGAAGAGAGAAAAGGGGGACAAGGGGGAGAAATAGGTGTCTTAGGAGTCACTGGGCTATAAAGATGGAAAGAGCCCGCTGTCCTCCCTGTGTATGCACGGAGAGGTCAGGGACTTCGCTTCTGGAGAGGAGTTTAGATCTGTGTGTCCAGAGACAGGTGTGTTCCTGACATCAATTTGCAGACGTTGATTTTAAATTGAAGTTTTTTTCCTCTGTTTTTGGTGGGGGAGGTCTATGTATGTGTTTCTGGCTCATTCTTAGGTTGCATTCAGCAGTCCCATCCCCAAATACAGTACGTACGGATTTAGCAGTAGAGAGAGGTTGGAGTTTTGTTTCTCTCCAGGGAGCCTACAACGCCAAGGGGGAGAGTCCACATGCAGCCCTTGAGTAACTCAGTTGTAACTGTAGAAGGAAGTGAAAAGGGAGCGGATGCCATCCATTTCATCGATCGTTTTCCCTCCAGAGAGGAGGGAGGGGCAGGTGCCCTTGCTAAGGGGGAATGGTAAAGACTGGGGGCGGGGGGGGGGTGGAATGAGGTTGGATCCATCCTTCTCATCCAGGGTTTTGTGGCAGGTTGTGGGTTTTCTTGCAGAGTACACAAACAGGTCGCCTTGTCCTTTTCCTTCTAGTGTGTGACTTAATGTGCTGTTTCCAAATGCGGGCATTTGGATTGAGTATGGAAGGCTCGTTGAGCCTACAGAAATTCCTCTCTTCCTCTTTCGGAAGACTCCCTCAGGGTTACTGACCATGTGGGCAGAATAGACAGAGCTCTGGCTGTCCCACCAAGCGACGTCAGGTCAGGTCACACAAAAATCCCGCCAGTTTCACATGCCTCGGGTGACGGTCAAGGGAGAAAAATATGTTTTACTGCGCATAGTAGGCCTGGTCCAAGCCTCTGCTGTCACCAGACTCCTTTCTTAGAAGGCTGTTGTGGTTACAAAAGTGTCTTGTGGAATGATCTGAGTTTAGTACGAATTTCAGTGTGTTTGCAAAAGAAAGCCCTAGCAAGGGTTGCAACCGCGACCTGAAGGTGGCGGTAATTTCTAGAGAAAGACAAGATTTTTCGATAAACATTTCCACAGCAACCTTGGTGAAACTATTGAAAACCGTCACTTATCATTTGTCGTTAAAGAATCCTTTACAATTCTTTTCATTTGCCTCCCCAGCCTGTTTCTATGTAACCTCCAATTTAGATAGAAACTGATAGAAGCAGGGGGGGAAAAAAAAGGCAGCACTGGACAGTTTCCAATTCCCAGCTGCCCCATTTTATTTACAGAAACACTGATTTATTTCTATATGGATGTTAATATTACTAAAAGATATATTTGCTCTTATTTACTATACATATACAATGTTTGTACTTCTACGTTTCCCCCAAAGATGTATTAATGACCAAGAAGAGCATAAAGATAAAATAATAATAAAAATAGTAAGAAAACATCATTGGGGTAGTTCCCAATGGTGTAGGTTTGTGTGCTGCATATTGAAAGCCAACGCAGAAACTGTCTTCCTGGAAGAGACATCATCGGCCCAAAGATGATTAATGCCAGTAGTGTATGAAATGGCCATAAAGAGAGCTAGAAGTATTTTTTCCCAAAAGGTGCACTCTTGAAAATACCTAATTTATACTATTTTGACTTCCACCCATCTTTTTTTTTCTAGTTTAAACTGATCTCTCTGAGAGCTGGTGATTGTCTACTGACAAAACTATGTATTGATAGCATATATGCTTAAACAGGGTTTACCCTCCATATATCATAACCAAATATGAATTGAGCTATTCAGTTTTCCATATTATTTTTAAAATCACAGGATTAGAAGACTCATACATTAAGATATTTATTTAAGGTTCCTTCTCTGCAGTAGCAGAATGCAAACACTTAAGGTATTGGTAATTTAGTACTTAGCTGTGGGGTGAAGCATTTTTATTTCTAAGGTGTGCCTCAAAAACCCAAGAATCAAATATTACTTGCTTCTGGTGGGGGTGGGGTATAGAAATGCAAGATGGTGAATTTCTGTTTGATGAAGTGGTCACAACCTAATTTTAAAAATTCGTTGCTTACTTTTCTTCTTGATGTGATTCAGTGAAGATTATGTGAGTTTTTTGTGTCTTTTTTTGTCTAGAAAATGAACTTTGGCTAATAAATGTGAACTCATTAGCAGTAGAGAATAGGAGAGGATTGATGATATAATTTAATAAAAAAAACTTTAAATCTTGATTTCTTCAAAGCAGACAGACAAGCTCTTATTCACAAGTAAAGCAAAGTGAATACTTATTCAAATAATTCATTGCAAAAAATTGCTTTTGAGGAAAAAATCAGGGAAATTTAGGCCTGTTTTATTCAGATCAGCTGTCTGCATTGATTAATGTTGCTGGATCCTTCTTTATGCATTGGATGGATTGAGTGTTCAGACTTTGGCAAATTGTACTGAGGGATTCTGCCCTGCCATGGTCCATTTAATTCTGGCATATAGACCTGACCTCCATCTACACTGCCCAAAATGAAATTGTAAATGAAATGAATTTTCTTCTGATTCCATGAGCTTCTGATTCTATGTATCTGTTCATTGCACTCATTACACATTCACCCCACCCCATTTTGTGTAAATTTACAGTGACTCAAGTGATATGATACAGTGGAAAGAACACTAGATATGGAGTAAAAGGACCTGGGTTCAAATTCTAGCTCTGTTATTTGCTACTAGTGTGACTTTGGGCACCTCACTTAACCTCTCTTCAGTCTCACTTTCCCAATCTATAAAATGAGTGGTTTCTTAGGTCCATTCTAACTCTAAATCCGTAATCCTCTAATTCTATGAGATTTAGCAACAGTTTAGTTAAGTTGACCAATGTAGACAACCAATCCCAAAAATACAGTAGAAAGAATTATTTTGAGGGACTAAATTAGGACAGTCTGAATAATGAGAAGTGGCTTGAATTAATGGAAAGAGCACTCACACGGATCTGGATTAGAATCCCCTTCCACCCTCCCTTTTTCTTTTACAAACTAGTTGTATGATTTTGAGCAATTTGCTTCATGTCTCTTGGCGTCAATTTCCTTGTCTATAAAATTGGGGTGGGGGGTTGGTGGCTCACTAAGGGTGCTTTCAGTACTAACACTGTAAGTCTGGATTACTGTCAAATCTCTACTTTGCTGAATCTGTGCATCCAAAGTGAAGTGAAAAGTCAAGGGAAATATCTGGATAATTAAAGAAAAAGTGGAACGACCCAGTTTTACTTAATCCCAAGTGTTTTTGGCCTGAATGAGCTGAATCAACATATCTCTTTTCCAATGTACTTTGTACTTTTAGGTCCAGACTGATAGATCATAGAAGCATTACTTCTCTGTAAGCTCACCCTCTGTGAGCTTACATCATAAGCAACATCAAAGTATAAGGGTTGAATTGGTGCCTGTGATATGAATGGGCTCAAAGTGCTAAATCCAATGCCGACCAGGCTGCAGGTCAGCAGCATAGTACAGGGCAAAGAATGCTAGACAGCATGATTTAGATGTAGAGCAGGAAATAGAGAAACAGCCTGGAGTTAGAAAGCTCTGAGTTCAAATCCAGCCTCAGACACTTACTAGCTGTGTGACCCTGGTTAAATCACTTAACTATTATCTACCTCAGTTTCCTTAACTGTAATATGGTTATAGTAATAGGACCTACTTCCAAGAGTTGTGAGGATCAAATGAGATATTTGTAAAGTGCCTGGCATAAGGTAAGCACTTAATAAATGCTTGTTTTCTTCTTCCCTTCTTTTCTTCCTAGGCTTTAGTGCTCATTCTGCCATTCACTATCAATGTGACCTTGGGCCAGTTACCTAAAAGCAGAAATCTCAGTATGCTTCTTTGTAAAATGGGGATAATATTTCTTGTATTACTTCTATCATCAGGGCTGTTGGGAAGAGCTTGGTAGACCTCAACATATTGTATGTAGTCAAGGAACCTCCTAGTATTATTAGTAGTAGGGAGTACTTTTACATCAGAAGGCAGATCCCAACTGCACTACATTGCAAGATTGGTTGGAATGGCCACAAAACTGGACAAAGCAACACAAAAGATAAGCAATGGCTCCAAAACACAAACAGAAAGACTTTCAAGATGAGTGTGTGACCAGGACTATGATATCTGAAGAAACAGTCTCATTATAATCAATAGGGGAGCTATATAGGAAACAACTTCAAGGCATTATCTCTCTGCAGTACTGGGCCGGGGGAGGGTGTAGTGAGACCTGGGCATTGACTACCAATGGGAGGTATGAAGTGAGACAAAATCCTTCGAGTTTATACCTTGTTAACACAGGACCTTCTTCTCTAAGTTACTTTGTAAATTCTCATTTGCTAAGTTGTAAAAGGTGTGAATTGTATGTTCTTGTATGTACTGTATGTGTGTATTCCTGCATTTTGCTTTTTTAAGTAATTGGTGTTGAGAACTCCTGGAGTGAAAATTCCTTCTACTGATGTGAATTGACATCTCATCTTTAACTTACAGTCCAAGAGAGTTGCTTAGGGCACTGTAGGATTAAATGATTCGTCTATGGTTATGGAGCTAGCCTGTGTCAAAAGCAGGACTTAAACCTGTCTGTCTGTCT